GGGGGGGTGGGTTTTGATGAATTTGCAGCGTTATAAATACCATCCCCGAGAGGGGAATCGTGAGCGCCGCGGCTAAAAATAGCTCGTCTCACGCCAGCGACTCCCCAGCGCAGGAGCAGCCGATGGGGACACGGGGACACGGGGACACGGGGACACGGGGACATGGGGACACGGGGACAGCAGCACCGGGTGCCCAACCCCGGGGGTGGGCTGAGCAGAAACCTGGGCATCTCCGAACTGCGGGAGAAACATCTACCTGGAGATGGATGCCCACCTGGAGAATGGGGGGGGGCAACCCTGCAAGGTGGGTGCACCCCAGGAGAGGGGTGTACCCCTAGGAAGATGGGTGCAACCTGGGAGACAGCCCCCAAAGATGGGTGCAGCCCCTAAAGATGGGTTCACACTGAGAGATGGGTGCAGCCCCCAAAGATGGGTGCAATCCCCCAAAACAAGTGCACCCCAGAAGATGGGTGCAATCCCTGGAGAGAACAGCACCCCTAGGAAGATGGGTGCACCCTGGAAGACAGCCCCCAAAGATGGGTGCAGCCCCTAAAGATGGGTTCACACTGAGAGATGGGTGCAGCCCCCCAAGATGGGTGCAGTCCCCCAAGATGGGTGCAGTCCCCTAAAACAAGTGCACCCCAGAAGATGGGTGCAACCAACCCCTGGAGAGGGCTGCATCCTAGGAAGATGGGTGCACCCTGGAAGACTGCCCCCAAAGATGGGTGCAGCCCCCCAAGATGGGTGCAGTCCCCCAAAATAAGTGCACCCCAGAAGATGGGTGCAACCCCTGAAGATGGCTGCACCCCTAGAAAGATGGGTGCACCCTGGGAGACAGCCCCCTGAAGATGGGTGCAGCCCCTAAAGATGGGTGCAGTCCCCCAAAACAAGTGCACCCCAGAAGATGGGTGCAACCTCTGGAGAGAACGGCACCCCTGGGAAGATGGGTGCACCCTAGGACACTGCCTTCTGAAGATGGGTGCAGCCCCCAAAGATGGGTGCAGTCCCCCAAAACAAGTGCACCCCAGAAGATGGGTGCAACCCCTGGAGAGAACAGCACCCCTAGGAAGATGGGTGCACCCTGGAAGACAGCCCCCAAAGATGGGTGCAGCCCCTAAAGATGGGTTCACACTGAGAGATGGGTGCAGCCCCCCAAGATGGGTGCAGTCCCCCAAGATGGGTGCAGTCCCCTAAAACAAGTGCACCCCAGAAGATGGGTGCAACCAACCCCTGGAGAGGGCTGCATCCTAGGAAGATGGGTGCACCCTGGAAGACTGCCCCCAAAGATGGGTGCAGTCCCCTAAAACAAGTGCACCCTAGAAGATGGGTGCAACCAACCCCTGGAGCGGGCTGCATCCTAGGAAGATGGGTGCACCCTGGAAGACCGCCCCCTGAAGATGGGTTCACACTGAGAGATGGATCCAGCCCCCCAAGATGGGTGCAGTCCCCTAAAACAAGTGCACCCTAGAAGATGGGTGCAACCAACCCCTGGAGCGGGCTGCATCCTAGGAAGATGGGTGCACCCTGGAAGACCGCCCCCTGAAGATGGGTGCAGCCCCCAAAGATGGGTTCACACTGAGAGATGGGTGCAGCCCCCCAAGATGGGTGCAGTCCCCCAAGATGGGTGCAGTCCCCTAAAACAAGTGCACCCCAGAAGATGGGTGCAACCAACCCCTGGAGAGGGCTGCATCCTAGGAAGATGGGTGCACCCTGGGAGACTGCCCCCTGAAGATGGGTGCAGCCCCCAAAGATGGGTGCAATCCCCCAAAACAAGTGCACCCCAGAAGATGGGTGCAACCCCTGGAGAGGGCTGCACCCCTCAGAAGATGGGTGCACCCTGGGAGAGAGCCCCCAAAGATGGGTGCAGCCCCTGAAGATGGGTGATGGGTTCACCCTGGGAGATGGGTGCACCCCAGAAGATGGGTGCAGTCCCCTAAAAACTGGGGGAGACTGCATCCTGAGAGACAGGAGATGGGTGCACCCTGAGAGACAGATACAGCCCCCAAAGCCGGGTGCAGCCCCCAAAGATAGGTGCACCCCTGGGAGATGGATGCACCCCTGGGAGATGGGTGCACCCCTGGGAGATGGGAGCACCCCTGGGACATGGATGCACCCCTGGGAGATGGATGCACCCCTGGGAGATGGGTGCACCC